TGTGTTTCGTATTTGGAAGTCTACTTAAAAACCACGAGATTTTAGTCATGTTTTACCCTGTTTTAGATATTTAAATAAAAGATTTAAAATGTTAAAGAAGTTTTACTTGTGTACAACTTTTTTCATCCTCTATTGCAGTGGAAAAGCTTTTATAAAGGAATTAAAATACACTAGTTTCACCCACGGTAGGAGAGTGGGTGAGGTCAGTTTTTTGGCCATGAATTCCCTGTCCCCTAAGCCCAAACTCTGCCAGAGAGAGAGGAGCAAAGGGATCTGTGGTTCCAGCAAGGGCACAGCACAGATCCCTTTGCTCCGCTGCAATTCAGCCATGTCATTTTATTTATTATTCTTTTTATTAGCTAACTAAACTCCAGTCTCAAACATATACAATAAACCTTTTCCTGAAGAAAGTTATACCTAAATAAGAGTTTCCAGTTCATATTTTAATATAAAACCACCATTCCTAACCCTCTGCAAAAAGCTAGCCTCGTATCCAAGACGTGGAGCTACCCTAAATCTCTTACCTCTTTGTGCCCCTGCATCTCAGGTAAAATACAAAAAAATATTTCTTCAAGTGTTAAATTTGGATCTCTTTTAAGAGAGTTTGGCATCTTTACAAGAGTATGTAAAACTAGAGCTTCCGACATCGACGTTAAATTAGACCAGCCACAGACCAAGAGGACTGAACACAACATAAATCCCAAACCTTTCCTCACACGTTCCTAAAGTACATGAATATTCTCTTACATTTAGAGGGGGGAAAGGGGGTCAGAATACTGCGACTGTACAGGTTAAAAAGGCAGTTTCCTCGCCAAGGAGATGAGCCTACGACCGACGGCTTTCACGGCCACCGGCCCCTCTGTCCTCGCGCTCCTGCCGGAGCCCATTCGCTGCACAGAGGTTACAACATCCAGAGTGATTTGTTTTCCAGTGATTCCGTTACTCCATTTCAGCCCCTGATTGTTTTAGAATAAATAAAATAGTGTGAAAGCCCTTGGTTAACGTAAGACAGGACCTCGAGCTCGTTTCGTTCCCGGTTTTGGAGCGTTTGTCAGTCGCCTGAAGCGTGGCCGCACGGCTTCGGACCGCTTGAGCTGCCGCAATGGTGTGTGCAAGTGTGCAATCCGCGGGGTCCCCGGGAGGGACGGCGGGGGCCGGGGACACCTGCGGGGGCCGGGGACACCTGCAGGGGCCGGGGACACCTGCGGGGGCCGGGGACACCTGCGGGGGCCGGGGA